CATCCTGACTACCACCACCACCACCACCACCACCACCACCACCACCACCATCATCATCATCATCATCATCATCATCATCATCATCATCATCGTAGTATTAGCTTTGAACTCATGCCCTCACACTTGCTAGGCAGGTGCTCTACTATTTGAACCATCCTACCAATTCTTCTGTGTCTATTAGAGTCTTGCTTTATATTCTAGACAACAGTATTCCTACTTGTGCTTCGTGACTTGCTAGGATGACAGGTGATGTCTCCATACTCAGCCATTGGTCTAGATAGAGTATTGAGCTTTTTGGGGAGGGGGGTCCAGGTTAGCCTTGAGCCTCAGTCCCCCATCTCTATCTCTCAAGTGGCTGGAATTATACGCTTGAGCCACCACACACCTGGTATCACCTGCATTCTGTGTAACCATTTAGTATACCTGTCTCAGGGCTGAAGGGATGTCCCTTATTTTTTTCTCTGTAACTTCAGGTAGGTTGTGCCTCAATTTTTTCCCATGGAAACTTGCTTCCATTCTTCTGTTACATTTCTTTCCATTTGGTTCTGGTAACTTAACAAAGACTAAAAGCCATCCTCTTGTTTGTCTTTTTTTTCTTTTTGCCAGTCCTGTGGCTTGAACTCTGGACCTGGCGTTGTCCTTGAGCCCCTTCTGCTCAAGGCTAGCACTCTACCCCTTCAACACAGTGCCACTTCTAGCTTTTTCTGTGATTAACTGGAGATAAGAGTCTCAAGGACTTTGCTGCCTGGGCTGGCTTCAAGACATGGTCCTCAGATCTCAACCTCTTGAGAGGCTAGAATTCTAGGCACGAACCATCAATGCCTAGCAGGCAACCCCCTTTTATCATCCTATCTTTAAGATTCATGATCTCCAAGTCTTGCTTAGTTTTCCTTTCATATCACTAGTACTGTCATTTAGTAACACTGTCCTTTCTGAAGAAATTTTTTTTTTCCAGTGTAACCGCTATCACAATTCTCTTGCTTTCCTCTCACTGTCTCTGTCTCTGTCTCTCTCTGTGCTGGTACTGAGTCTTGAACTCAGTGCCTCATGTTCTCACTTGGATTTTTTGCTCATGATTGGCCCCCTACCATTTGAGCCATGCCCCTAGTCCAGCTTTTTGCTAGTTAATTGGAGATAAAGTCTCATAGACTCTTCTGTGCAGGCTGCCTTCACACCATAATATTCAGAACTCAGCCTCCTGAATAGCTAGGATTATAAGTAAGAACCACCTACACCAGGTCTGCTTTTCTTTTAACTTTAAGATCTAAAATATAGATTTAGATATATACTTGAAGCAAATGTCTCTGTTTCAAATATATATTGAATATATCAATTTCCTGAATAAAGCTTATTCCTAGGAGAGAGGAGGATCCAACACAAATCTTTGTTTGTTTGTTTTTTGTTCTAGTCCTGGGGCTTGAACTCAGACCCTGGGCACTGTCCCTGAGCTCTTTTACTCAAGGCTAGCACTCTACCACTTGAGCCACATTTTCACTTTCAGCTCTGTGTGTGTGGGGGAGGGGGTAATGGTTAGTTGGAGATAATAGTCTCCTAGACTTTCATGCCAAGGCTGGCTTTGAACCATGATCCTCAGATCTCATCCTTCTGAATAACTAGGATTACAAATGTGAGCCACTAATGTCTGGCACAATCCTCTTTAAGTATCTTTTTTGACTTGGGATTAGAATAGCATTTTGTTTTTCTTCCTCAAAACCCAAAATAACAAATACTTCCATTCTCTTTATATATTTATGATAGACCCCACCATTTCCTCTGTGAGTGAACACACAGGGAATTTCAGTGAAGCCTGGAAATTCCACACTCAGGGCTTACATAACAACAAAACTAGCACCAACTAAAGACAAAAACAGATGTACACATGAAATACCCTATATGAAATTAAAAAACGTGGACTTCCCTCTATCAGTCTCTCCCTGGCCCTATAAAAAAGATACAATTTAAATCCAGATAAAGGGGAATCAAATTGGGTAAAATTTATCAAATACTATATGAAAGTCTCTAGCACAATTTGAGAGCTAAAAATCTCTCAAATTTGTTTCTTAGCAGTAGTGAAGTTTGAACTCAGAACCTTGTGCTTGCTAAGCAAGTGCTCTATTTTATGTGAGTCACACTCCCAGATAAACTTGTGTTCATAAATATACTGGAAACTTATGCCATTTCACCCTAAAATCTATACCTGATATAGTGGCTGAGAATAAGAACAGAATACAATTACCTATTCAATGGCCTAACAGCCCTTCCTGTAGCAAGCCTGTCTCTGCTGTATCTATGTGAATCTTAATCAGTCATGGTGGTCTAGAAGCCTGCTTTTACAAAGGCCCCCGACCAGTGCCTCAAAAATAGTGGCTTACAGACAGCTAATAAGCTGTTGGACTTGAAAAACCCAAAGAACTGAGGCTTAGGGTCACTACAGCCCTCAAATCACCAGACTTCCCATCTGCACACATCTTATTTTGCTTCTTAAATCCAGATAGAGAGCTTGATTCCTCAAGCTTTAACATCCAATGGACATTAAAAAATGTTAGGGTTTAAGGGAGATATTTGTATCATATCTCTTTTCCTCTCCATGTTCTCAACTAAATAAGCAATAAATAGATACAGGAATCAGATTAATAAAAATCAAAATATCAGTACTTTGCTAATGAAACTGTATCATGACCAAAAGTGAACTTCCTTGTCTCTTCAATCCCTCCCAATTCCTGGTTTTAGAATGACCCACCGAAGGAAAATATGCAAAGGAGCACTTACCTGGAGAGCAGTATGGGGCATCATTGCCTCACAAGTATGAGAGACAGTGGTACTCTGGAAAGTAGACCTGGGTCCCACTCAGCAGGTGTGCTTATCATCTGAAAGCAGGATCTGAGTGTAGTGCATACACACTAAATCCAGGGAGGAGTAGAAAGTGAATGGTGTGTGTGTGTGTGTGTGTGTGTGTGTGTGTGTGTGTACAATGACCCTCCTCCCTCACAATTTTTCCTTATGGAAGAAGTAAGAGCTAGAGATAGTATGAAATGTGACTCCCAGTAAGGTCCCCTGCTTGAAGAAGAACAGGGAAATAGGGACAAATGACAGTCTTGTCACCATATCCTGTGGAGTATGGTAACAAACCCTGTGCTCTTCATCTCTCCCATCTGAGGCCTGACCTGTGATTTGTTCCCAGCTTTCAACCCAGATATCAGTTAGACTTCTACTAATAGAATCTGGTCTTGGATCGTTGCTATATCAAATCTTAGGATGAAAGTGGTAAAGTAAGGACCCAGAGATCCAGGCTGAGCCAAACCAACTCCCCAGATATAGTTACTCACTGAGTTCCAACTGATTAACAACAACAAAACCCAAAAACAATAAACAAACCAACAATAGGCCAAATGCCAGTGGCTTATGCCTATAATTCTAGCTACTCAGGAGGCTGAGATCTGAAGATCATGGGTTGAAACCAGCCAGGGCAAGAAAGTCCATGAGACTTACCTCCAATTAATCACTGAAAAGCCAGATGGGGAGCTGTGTCTCAAGTAGTAGAGCACCAGCCTTGAGCACAAAAGCTCAGGGACAGCACCCTGGTCCTGAGTTCAAGCTCCAGGACTAGCACAAAAAAAAAAAAAAGAAAAAGAAAAACAACAAACCATGATAGACAATTTGCCCCATGAAAGTTAAAATGTGTTTGCGACTTTAACTAAGCATCACTATCCCACAATACTGTGAAATTTGGGAAATTATGTAATCACTTAATCACAATAAAGAATTTGGAAAAAAGAAAAGAAAAGAAAAACAACAAACTCTTTTCAGCTGGGAGCCAGTGGCTCACACCTGTAATCCTACCTACTTAGGAGCCTTAGGAGCCTGAGATCTGAATGTAGTGGGTTGAAGCCCTCCAGGGCAAGAAAGTCCATCAGATTCTTATCTCCAATTAACTACCAGAAAACTGGAAGTGGTGCTGTGGTTCAACGTGGTAGATTACTAGCCTTGAACAAAAGAACTCATGGACAGCACCCAGGCTCTGAGCTCAAGCCCCATGACTGATTTTTTTTTTAAAGGAGCTGGGAAGGTGGGTCAGTGGTAGAGTGCTTGCCTTGCATGCATGAGGCCCTGGGTTCAATTCCTCAGCACCACATAAGCAGAAAAAGCCGGAAGTGGTGCTGTGGCTCAAGTGTTAGAGTACTAGCCTTGTGCTGAAGAGTGGAGAGACAGTGCTCAGCCCCAGAGTTCAAGCACCACGACTGAGCAAAAACAAAACCAAACCACCTCCTTCCAAGGCACTTCACTAATAACTACTCCCCAAGAACTTTCTGGCTGGTTATCCTAAAAAAAAAAAAACACCAAAAATTTGTTCTAGATAGCTTCTTCCCCACCACCTTTTTGGTCCACTTACCCAAAGGCAGATTTTCTAGTGAAGGGGGAAAAGCAAAAAATCATAGCCTTCACAGTGCCCTGAGGAAACAGCTCCACCTGAGGAAACAGCAAAAGGAAAATTCTCCCTGTCACCAGTAATCACCTCTACTCTTGAAGGTCTATTCTCCCTATATGTAACCCCAGGACAATCCTCACCTACCCCACTTAGCGCATATCAGGAAACCATGAGCCCTGTAAAACAAGCTGGATCTGGTGGTACACACTGTAATCAAAACTATATGGGAAGCAGAGGTAGGATGATTGTGATTGAAGGCTGGCCCTGGGACAAAAATCAAAAACCTATGTGAATACCTATGAGCATAGCTTAAGTGGTAAAGCACTTGCCTATCAAGTGCAATACCCTAAGATTAAATGCCAGAACTGCATAACATAAATAAATAAATAGGTAGATAGAAAAAATAAAACAAATATCATTACTGCCTGATTCCTTCATGGAGCTCTAAGGAACTTACAGCAAGAGAAGGATTTGCCTATTTGATATTAGCTACCACCTTGATTCTTCTTCCCTAAACCCAGGACAACAGCTATTAAAAAAAAATCAGTCTCTCACCTTCCTCTCTCACACTCACCAACCCACCTGTAGCAAAAACAAAAATACACAGACCTTAAAAGAAGTAAACCCCTAGTTAGCCACTAAGAAATGAACAAAACTTACTATCGCTGAGATTACTTGGGAGGGGGGCAGCTAGAACCACGGGCCTCTGTTTCCCTGTGTGTTAGCAATGATTCTGAAAGGTCTTGTTTTGGATCTGTTTGCCACACCTCCCCATCCCCACACCACCCCACCCCCTACCTCTTGAACTGCCCCCCAAAGCCCATGTTATCTGTACCCCCACTACCACCCCATGCTCCACCACCCACAAGTTGATTAAGTTTGCCATCTGAGTGAAAGGGGGAACTAGTCTGGGCCATCCTTTTCTTTCTGGTGCCTTTATGGCTGTTTCCAAATTGTTAAACCAATCTCACCACGAGAGTTAGCCAGGAGATTACTATCCTCCAAGAGGACCTCAAATGGAGAGGGAGGCTACGACGCAAGTGCTGGGGACCAAATCCTGCTATGGGGACCTGCAACCAGACTCACACCACTCCCCAGACACAAGAAACATCTCTCAGCCATACAGCTACATAGTATCTCCTAGCAGAGAAAGCTGGGGCAACTGGGGAAGCAGAGGACATAAGCCTCCCATCCATCTGGCATCTTTGTTTAAAAGATACTAAAAAATAAATTAGTAAACATTGCTGTTTACAGAAATAGAAAGCATTTCTGTTTCCAAAGGCCTCTCACCATCCCAGTCCTGGACATTTCCAAGACTGCCACCCCTGATACCCTCTCCATGGTCCGCCCTGGTGGTGGGTGCAACTCTGGAGTCCTTTGAGACTGGGAGCTCCCCAGGCACGTGAAAATTCCAGTTACACAAATCTTTAAATCTTCAGTACCTTGGAGAGTACCAGAGTTCATCCTTTCTCACCAGTTAGTTCCCAGGGGGTTGTCTGGCCAGCAACCTCTCCTTGTAGGATGATCCTTGTGTTGCAGGAATTCCCGTTACATTCTGGCTCCCAGTCCCTCCCCAGAGTCCGATGTTGCCGGCCTGGACCCACCCTCAGGGTGGAGGACCGCAGTCTGTGCCTTAGTCTAAATACTCTGTAAAAGGGGATGAGCAGGGAGAAAGCAGGGACAATCACGCGGGGGAAGTCGTCCTTGAGGGGGACGACAGACAGCAACGACTGTCCTACAAGCAGGAAGTTAGGCTGCGCGCCTGGGCAGAGCCGGAGCCGGAACCAGAACTTTCGGCCTCAGCGGTGGGTGGCGGGTCGACACGGGGGGTGCGGCGTCGCCCCCGGTACTCGATCATGTCGGGGTGATAGGATGGGTGACGGCGGGCGTGCTTGGTCAAATGATCGCTCCGGGAGAACTGCTTGGGGCAGAGGGGGCAGGAGAAGCGCTTTTCGCCGGTGTGGGTCCGGTAGTGGCGGGCAAGCTCGTCGGAGCGCGTAAACTTCTTGTCGCAGTCGAGCCAGTCGCAGGAGAATGGGCGCTCGCCCGTGTGGGTGCGCTGGTGGGACTTGAGGTGCGACGACTTGTAATAGGCTTTGTTGCAGCCCGGGAAGGGGCATTGATGTCGCTTGGCTGCGGGTGTCACCGGCCTCCTCCGGGTCGTCGGAGCCTTGGCGGGGGCGGGGCCCTCCCTTGGGGCCCCACCGCGCCCTCTGGAATCCCCGCCAGTGGCTGCGGGCGACCCCCGGGCTGCAGGTGCGCTTGGAACCTCGGGTGCTTCGAAGGAACTCTCCAGCTCGAAGACCGCGTCGTCGCCGAAGGCTGGAGCGGGCTCTGGGCCCCGAGTGGGGCTGAAGCCCCGGGTCGGGTGGGAGGAGGCAGACGAGGCACACAGGGCATCCCCCGAGGGCCCCCCGCAGCCCTCCCGGGCGCAGGCGCGCAAATCAGCCAAAACGCTCGCAGCCAGCAGGTGGGGCGCGGCGCCGCCCGTTTCGGGGCTTGGGGCGGGGACGTGGAGAAGCGGGAGATCCGACGCCGGCTCCGGGGGCCCGGGATCCGGCAGCGCGGACTCGCTGCCACCCACCTCCGAGCCCGCGGCGGTCCCCGCGCCCTCGGGGTCCGGCGCTCGGTGGTGCACCACGGCGCCCGCGGACATGGACACCAGGCACTCGGCGGCGAAGTAGTCCAGGCACGCCACGGCTGCCGACATGCTGGGACCGCTCCGCCGCCGGCGAGCGCCGTCCGAGCGCGGCCGG